CCGATGCACTGATGATGATCGATTTGGTTGTTTTAATTTACATTCTGTTTTGGTTTAAATATCTAAAGAAACATTTAAGAAAATGTAGAGAAGTATAAAATAGAAAAATATAAGCCAATATTTTAATATTTTATGTTGTCTGTTTTCAGTGTATAAGATTTTTTTATTTTTTAAAGATTTTATGTATTTATTTTTAGAGGGTGGGGAAGGGAGGGAGAAAAAGACAGAGAGAAACATTAATGTATGGCTACCTCTCATATGCTCCCTATTAAGGACATGGCCCACAACCTAGGCATGTGCCCTGACTAGGAATCAAACCAGTGACCCTTTGGTTCACAGGCCAGTACTCAATCCGCTGAGCCACACCATCCAGGGCAAAGGTTTTTAATTTTAAGAAATATTTTTAAAAGGTAACTGAAGAAAATATTGGATGAAACTCTGAAGAGAAACTGTATTTTTAAAGATAGAATAGGTCACCCATTCCTAAGCAGCTGTCCCTTCCCCTTGCACTACCCTTCTGTTGCTCACTGAGGTCGCAGTACTTTTTACTCTCTGCATTTATTTTGTTTGTTGTTATTTCATTATCCATCTTTTTCTCCAATCTTTAAATCATAAGGATCTTGAGAACTGAGACTCTGCCTGCCTCATATCCATTAAACACCAGAGCAGTACACAGTACTGGGGCATGGTAGGTGCTCAGAAGAAGGAAGTAAAGAGAAGCTGGCATCTGCCAAAGTGTTACCTCTGCTTGCCAAGGGCAGTGGGAAGGGGAGATGGATAAAAGGGCATGTCCATTGACATTATTTTCATCGTTTCCTTTTAGCAAAAAAAGCCATCAATATGACAAATGAAAAACTAATTTGCCCAGGACATGTATTTGACAAGGCTGGACAGTAAGTGTTCCAAATTGGGAACCAGGTGGGCAATTTGGGGCCCCGTGAAGTGTCTAGAAAATAGAATGTCACCTCTACTGGGGCAACATGTGTCTGTCTCTGAGATGGCTCAGGGCTCCCTCTTTGATCAATCACTCCCAAGGGTGGTCATCCAAGGTTCTCAGGGATCTGCCGTGGCCTGGCTCTCACGAGGAGGGCAGGGTAGGTAAGGTAATGTGCCACAGGGATGGTACTTTTGCTTTTGGCAGCCTTCAGGAGCTAAGCCAACTTATTTCATGGATATAAATGTGGGGATGGTGACACCAAGCAGCCATGTCTCATCACTTAACCCATGGTCATGAGGGCCCCTGGTCTCATGCAGGGCTCCTCACTGTCTCGTTAGCCTCCCTTGAAAAGGTGACCCTATCTGGCCTGAACATGAGCTTTCCTTACCCATGCTGTCACCCTTTCAGGGGACCCCAATGCCTGATGTCTAGTCATTACAATGAACAGAGAGCTATTTGCTACGGTTATAGCCAAGAGTAAGAACTGTGTCACTGGGCTGGTGGTCACCATCTCTCCTTTCTGTTCTTAGGGTGGTCATCGTTGATTACAGCCTCAACAGTGGTGTCAAGTTCCAGGACTCAACTTTGAAAGTGACCAGTAGGAACTGTGTGAGTGTCAGGGTGGCACTATACAAAGCCCCTACTGGATGGAGAGACACTCTTTGGAGATAAGAGAAGGGAACAGTGACCCCAGGCAGGCCCACCAGACAGCTCCGGCAGACAGGGGCAGGATCTGACAGACCCTTGGGGGCCTTTTGATCTTAATTGGAGAGCTGTCCCCTCACTGAAGTTTGGGAAGTACCCTGAGAGTATGTCTATAAGATACCAGGGTACAGCCAGATATCTAGGCCTTGCAGAACCTCTGCTTTCTCTGTGGCCAAGGGTCACTGAAGCACACGGAGAAGCAAATTAGAGCTCTAAGCAGAACCCAGAAACTGTTCTGAGGTTCTGACCCTACTGTCTTCCACCTTTCCACCTCCCCTGGCCTGGGGCTAGTGTTAGGGATTTTAAGGTTCATCTGGATTCCAGCTGAAGTTGGGAAGGCTTGGAAGCTATGTGCTAGAGGCAGAGTTCAGAATCCTGGGGAACCCAAGCCCTCCAAATCCAGACCCCAAAATGGAGATAGGAAAGGTTGGACCAGCAGTGGCCATGCACAGTGTGTTCCCACTACACTGGATTCACTTTCCAGTGGCTCAGCACCCACTCATGACAATCAGAGCCCCTGGCTGCTGAGATGGCTTGGAGAACACAAGCTGTCATTTTGCAGATGTTATCACCCTCCCTTCAGCCTCTCCTCCTCTCTCCTGCTCCTCAGCTGGCCCTCTCTGCTAATTCCCTGTGAACTCTGCAGGAAGATTGTCCCTCTGTAGGTGGGAAACCTCAAGGTTATGGGAGGAACCAGGTGCTCAGCTCAGGGAAAGGAAGCTGCGAATGAAGTGCTCCCAGGTGCCCACCTTACAGATTCCACATCATCCAGGAACCTTAGCCCCAGAATATAATCAGGTGCCAACAGAGAGAGTTAGGCTGAACAAAGTGTGGCTTGGCAGGAGGGACTCCTGTGTCTAATTGCCACCACTCTGGTGTCCAGTGCTAGCTTGTGAGGGTCCCAACAGTGCTGACAGTCCTCCATCTGACTCTGTCTTTGCTTGTGCCTGGACATCCTGTCACAAACCAGCAGCCTGAACTGATGTCAGGAGTCCTGCCCATCAGCAGGCACATTTAGAGGAGGACTCAGGAGCAGCCTTGTAGCTGCAGGCCCAGCACAGCAGCATCACCATCAGCCCTGACTCTGCCTCCCCTTTCAGCCACCCTCTCTCCTGTCCTGGCACAGGCTCTCTCCACTGTCCCTCTGCAGCTTCACTGTCAGCACAGCCTGGGCTTAGGGAAGGTCTGTGCAGCACACAGGTCCACAGTTGCAGCATACTTTCTCTAAGATATGAATAACAAGACAGTAGTTTCCATTCTGTAAGTCCCGACATGGGTCTAACCTATGCTGGGACTTTCTACAAACTCTCTCACCCTCACAAGTGACCACTTATTTCCTCCTTACAGATGTGGGAATGGAGGCTCAGAGACATTGAATAGCTTTTCCTGGGGCTGCAGATCCTGGAGATGGGAGAGAGGCAATGAGGCGACAGAGTAGGTCTCCTGCCTCTGCATCTGCACCCCACACTCTCAGTGGGCCACAGAAGCACCTCTTCACCCATCTGAATATCTAAATTGCATGGTCCTCATACAGTCTCTGTCCTGTCCCTGAAACCTGCAGTAAGGGCTGGTTTGTAACTTCACAGAGAATTTTAGACTTTCTTGTCAGGGCTGAGCTACAGAGTGATCAGGTTTAGTGGAAAGTTCTGAGGCCAAAAGGCTCCACAGTAGCTCTGGTTCCCACCCTGGCTCCCTAGCTCCCCTGGGCCACACTGTGGATGAAGCAAACTGAGAAGGGAAGTATTTTGACAAGGCAGTAGGTGGGGTTGCCTGGTGTTGGTCCAGTGTATGGAGGCTACCAAGGCCCACCACAAGCCTCTAGCATGTGTGCATTTTGCAGAGAAAGATGTCAACTGCCCCTCCAGTCTCTTCACCGTCGGCCCCTTCTCCTGCCGGAATGCCTTCTCTTCCACGTGCCTTACTACTTAACAGGCCTCCAACACCACCACCTGCAAAGCCACCTGTTCTGCCACCTCACAATTTTCCTAAGCCTCCTCTTGACAAGACACTTGTCCTGTCAACTCATAGGCCTTTAACCTCACTACTGGCCAAGACACCTGTCCCGCCACCATGCACTCCTCCTCCTCCTCCACCACCCACCAAGTCAACAGTCCCACCAACTTGCAGTCCTCCAACATCAAGACCTACCAAACCAACTGTTTCAACACTTCACAGTTCACCATTGTCATCACCTCCCAGGCCTTCAACATCACCAACAACCAAACCACCTGCCACATCACCTCCCAGGCCTTCAACATCACCAACAACCAAACCACCTGCCACATCACCTCCCAGGCCTTCAACATCACCAACAACCAAACCACCTGCCACATCACCTCCCAGGCCTTCAACATCACCAACAACCAAACCACCTGCCACATCACCTCCCAGGCCTTCAACATCACCAACAACCAAACCACCTGCCACATCACCTCCCAGGCCTTCAACATCACCAACAACCAAACCACCTGCCACATCACCTCCCAGGCCTTCAACATCACTAACAACCAAACCACCTGCCACATCACCTCCCAGGCCTTCAACATCACCAACAACCAAACCACCTGCCACATCACCTCCCAGGCCTTCAACATCACCAACAACCAAACCACCTGCCACATCACCTCCCAGGCCTTCAACATCACCAACAACCAAACCACCTGCCACATCACCTCCCAGACCTTCAACATCACCAACAACCAAACCACCTGCCACATCACCTCCCAGGCCTTCAACATCACCAACAACCAAACCACCTGCCACATCACCTCACAGGCCTTCAACATCACCAACAACCAAACCACCTGCCACATCACCTCACAGGCCTTCAACATCACCAACAACCAAACCACCTGCCACATCACCTCACAGGCCTTCAACATCACCAACAACCAAACCACCTGCCACATCACCTCCCAGGCCTTCAACATCACCAACAACCAAACCACCTGCCACATCACCTCACAGGCCTTCAACATCACCAACAACCAAACCACCTGCCACATCACCTCCCAGGCCTTCAACATCACCAACAACCAAACCACCTGCCACATCACCTCCCAGGCCTTCAACATCACCAACAACCAAACCACCTGCCACATCACCTCACAGGCCTTCAACATCACCAACAACCAAACCACCTGCCACATCACCTCACAGGCCTTCAACATCACCAACAACCAAACCACCTGCCACATCACCTCACAGGCCTCCAACACCACCACCTGCCAAGTCACCTGTCCCATCACCTCACAAGCCTCCAACTTCACTACCCACCAAGTCACCTGTCTGGCCATCTTCCAGGCCTTTAACACCACCACCCACAAAGACACCTGTCCCACCATCTCGTAGTTCTCCAATGCCACCACCTACCAAGCCACCTGTTCTGTCACCTCCAAGGCCTTCAACATCACCACCTGCCAAGTCATCTGTCCCATCACCTCACAAGCCTCCAACTTTACCACCCACCAAGCCACCTGTCCGGCCATCTCCCAGGCCTCTAACACTACCACCCACAAAGGCACCTGTCCCACCACCTCGTGGTTCTCCAATGCCACCACCTACCAAGCCACCTGTCCCACCACCTCACAGGCCTTCAACACCACCATCTGCCAAGTCACCTGTCCCATCACCTCACAAGCCTCCAACTTTACCACCCACCAAGCCACCTGTCCGGCCATCTCCCAGGCCTCTAACACTACCACCCACAAAGGCACCTGTCCCACCACCTCGTGGTTCTCCAATGCCACCACCTACCAAGCCACCTGTCCCACCACCTCACAGGCCTTCAACATCACCACCTGCTAAGTCACCTGTCCCATCACCTCACAAGCCTCCAACTTTACCACCTACCAAGCCACTTGTCCTGCCATCTCCCAGGCCTTTAACACTACCACCCACAAAGGCACCTGTCCCACCATCTCGTGGTTCTCCAATGCCACCACCTACCAAGCCACCTGTCCCACCACCTCACAGGCCTTCAACACCACCACCTGCTAAATCACCTGTCCCGTCACCTCACAAGCCTCCAACTTCACCACCCACCAAGCCACCTGTCTGGCCATTTTCCAGGCCTTTAACACTACCACCCACAAAGGCACCTGTCCCACCACCTCTTACTCCTCCAATGCCACCGCCTAGCAAGCCACCAGTCCCGCCACCTCGTAGGCCTTCAACTTCACAACCCACCAAGCCACCTGTCCAGCCATCTCCCAGGCCTTTAACACTACCAACCACAAAGGCACCTGCCCCACCACCTCTTAGTCCTCCAATGCCACCGCCTAGCAAGCCACCTGTCCCGCCACCTCACAGGCCTTCAACACCACCACCTACCAAATCACCTGTCCCATCACCTCACAAGCCTCCAACTTCACCACCCACCAAGCCACTTGTCCCACCACCTCACAGGCCTTCAACACCACCACCTGCTAAATCACCTGTCCCATCACCTCACAAGCCTCCAACTTTACCACCTACCAAGCCACCTGTCCTGCCATCTCCCAGGCCTCTAACACTACCACCCACAAAGGCACCTGTCCCACCACCTCGTGGTTCTCCAATGCCACCACCTACCAAGCCACCTGTCCCACCACCTCACAGGCCTTCAACACCACCACCTGCTAAATCACCTGTCCCATCACCTCACAAGCCTCCAACTTCACCACCCACCAAGCCACCTGTCTGGCCATTTTCCAGGCCTTTAACACTACCACCCACAAAGGCACCTGTCCCACCACCTCGTACTCCTCCAATGCCACCGCCTACCAAGCCACCTGTACTGTCACCTCACAGGCCTTCAACATCACCACCAGTCAAGCCACCTACCCCATCACCTCCCAGGCCTCCAATGCCACCACCTACAAAGCCACCTGTCCCACCACTTCACAGGCCTCCAACCTCTCCATCTACCAAGACATCTGTCCTGCCACTTCATAGTCCTCTAGTGTCACCTTCTTCCAAGCTACCTGCCCCACCTCTTCATAGTCCTCATATGACACAACCTACCAAGCCACCTATCCCACCACCTCATAGACCTTCAATACAACCAACTGTCATTCAATCTGCTCTATCACCTCACAGGCTACCAACTACACTACCTGCCAAACCACTTGTCCCACCACCTGACAGTCTATCCATGCCACCACCAACCAAGCCGCCTGCCCCACCAACTCACAGACCTCCAACTTTATCACCTGCCAAGCCACCTTTCCAGCCACCTCACAGGCCTCCAAAGCCAAACCTTGAAAAACCACATGTCCCACCACACTTCAGTCCTCCAACACCACCACTTACCAAGCCATCTGTGCCACCACCACACAAGCCTTCAACACTACCACCCATCAGGCCACCTGTCCCTTCACCCCACAGTCCTCCAATGCTATTACCCACCAAGCCACCCATTCCATCACCTCGCAGTCCTCAAATATCACCACCCACCAAACCACAAGTGCCGCCAACTCCCAGGCCTTCAACACCACCACCTGCCCAGCCACCTGTCTTGCCACCCCACAGTCTTTCAACACCACCATCCACCATGCCACCTGTCCCACCACCTCACAGTCCTCCAACATTACCACCTGCCAAGCCACCTGTCCATCCAACTAGCAGCACTCCAGTGCCACCACCTATCCCACCACCTCACAAGCCACCAACTTCACCACCTGCCCAACCACCTGCCCTGCCATCTCCCCCACTGCCTTCCCCACAGTTCACACTCATTGTCAGCCATCTGTACTTCATTGTGCTCATCCTGGCCCTGCTCATGTTCCCGTTATTGATCTGGTGCATCTGGTGCTGCAAGAAGGTGAGTAACTACTGCCCACACAGCCCTGTAAACATTCCAAGGCAATAACATGCCTAACTACTTCATGAACCCACATGTGGGTAGGATCCAATTAACTCCAATATTGTCACATGAGTAGAAAAAGGTGCAGACTCTGTCCTACATTCCTGGGCACAGGCACTCCCTGAGCTTCTAAGGAGCCGCCTGCCTCATGCTTCCCCAGGGATATGGCCTATGTGCTGCCTTGGCCCCTGGGGAGGAGCAAGCACAGGACCCATGAGACCAACCTGGGTCTCTGCTCATCTCTAGTGCCTTTGTCCTGACTAAGGGCCAGGAAGTGCTGAGACCTATGCTGGGCACAGAGGGACAGAACTGAAGTGGCCACCAACCTTCCAGGAGCTCACAGGCTGTTATCTGGTTTGGTGCTGGTATGAGGGCACATGAGGGGAAACAATATCAACTTTATAGTTTGTGGCAAGTGCTCAATGAAACCTGAGCAACAACAAAGGACAGAGTCTGGCCCCAGGGAGGGATTGAGGCAGAGGCACTGGCTAGCTGGGATTGAAAGGACATGGGCCAGAGGGTGGGATTGAAGACAGTGGAAAGCAGAGGTGTGAAAGGATGGAGCAAACCAGCAAGAGGCAAGCAGGTTTGATCTGTGGAACCGGGGGAAGCGGGGCAGGAAAAAAACTCCTGGGTGATAGAGGGACTGTTATCTCTGAGGGCTGGGAGGCAAGGGAGGGCTGCAGGAGGAGGGAGAGGTGGTGCAGGGAGAAAGGGGTATGGGCCGGTGCTCTGTCTTCATATGATGGTGAGCAGCTGATGAAATCCACCAGCTGCGAGGCCTGTACCAGGAACCAGGATCCTCAGACTGGCTCTTTCCCTGTGGATCCCACAGGGGGCTTTCAATTCCCCCCTCACAACTGAGGTTCAGGGAAGTGAGGCCTCTTGTCCCAGACATCCAGACAGTGACATCCAGATGGACACCCCAAAGCCCATATTGTGTTCTGATGCTGACAACAGGATCCCCCTGTCAACAGGGCCTCCCAGAACCCTCCAGGCCCCTTCTACCTATACTTATGTCTCTTTAACATTCTAGACTATCAAGAAGTCACCACCAGTGCAAGATCAAGAAAAGGTAAGTCATGGTTTGCTCCTGATGTTGTCAGCAGGCCTAATGGGCACAGTGACCTTGACAAAGAGGTTTCCTGTAGCCTGGGACCATTTTCAGACCCCACACCACCAGCTCCACCCACCTGGGCAGTAAGAGCTGGGAGGAACAAGAGGGTGACAGAGGGGCATGGAGAGACAAGGAGGACCTGGAACTCACCAAATGTCACCCAGACAACTTTCCTGGCTCCCAACACAGCCTGATCCAGAGACCTAGTTCCCCCTCCAGGCTCTGGTGTACATTAAGCTCCATTTCCCTGGTCGCCTCCTTGTCTCCTACCAGGGAAAGGGCTTGGCTGGGGTGGCCTGTAGTGACCAGAGGGCTGAGGAGGGTGGAGGGAGTCTGACCTGGCACTGAGCTATGAGGGAGGCCCAGCCTCGGTGAGCACAGGGACTAAGGGTCAGGCGAGCAGGTTGGGGCTAACTCAGGGTGAGGGCTCTGAGTTAACCAGGGCTCACAGTTGTAGCCGGTGCACAGTGTCCCAGAAACAGAGGCAACATGGGTGTGGGATCTGGGGGAAAATTAGCCTCAGTCTGTGGTGGCCCCTGTGCTGGCTGCTGTGTGACCTGGGGGGGCTAAATCAGTCAGAATCAAGTGAATACAGCCCCATCACCTGCCAATGCTCACACCCTGACAGCCTCCATTACATTACACAGCTCAAGACCAGGCTTCTTCAACAAGGGCAACCTCAGCAACACCAAGGGGACTGCAATGAATTTGCTAGTCTTTCTGGAAAGAGTCATATTTGCAAAACCAAAAGAACTTCTCTTCTGATTCAGAGTGCCCATGGAGGGCACTCTCTTATGTTACAGGGTGCTACTCATTTGTCCTTGACTTCCCCCACAAACATTTGCTGAGATTCCAAAAGCTGAGAGGAATGGGGAAACTGACAGCTTGTGTCTGCACCCAGGGCTGCCAAACCAGGAAGCTGTGTTTTCTCTTTCTAGAAGCCAAAGATGTGTCACATACAGACATGCCCAACAGTGATTGTCCCTTGCTGTGGGTGCCAAGAACACAGGATACAAAGGGGAGAGGTGAGAAGGGTCCTTAGGGAGGGAGCTGTGACCCTAAGGCTAGGATATGGGAGGAGAAGGGCTTCAGGTTTATGCCACAGAGGCCTGGGACCAAGAGGTGTGGTTTATGTGAGATGAAATATAAGGGCACTGGGCTTTCATCACTTGGATCCTTACCCCACATTCTCTCCCTTGGTTTAGGGATATTGGGGGCTGGCTCACAGCCAGTCAGCCTCTGGTTCTCACAGAGATTGTTATCAACTCCACCAGTGGCCTGGGCTTCTCTGGCCAGTAGATGGATAAGTGAATACAAACTGAATCATAAACAAACTAGCATAGTCAGGGGGAAGAAACGTCCTTATCCAAGTCCCTACCACCACTGAAAGTACCCAGAACTGCCAGTGGCTCTACTGCTCTTACAGAAGTCCTTTCAGCAGAGTGAGGGAAGAGCTCACTGCATTGTCTTTGTGACTGTCTCCGATGGGGCACGAAGGGCTCCACAGAGGAGGGGACAGAAGGAAATGTCCATCACCCAGGGAGTGTGATGGTCCATCCTGGTGAGGGAGGGCCCAGCCTGGCAGCAGGCATGAGGTGACAGGGATAGAGAGGGCCAGGTCCAGTTGACTGTTTTGAGAAAGAAAGATCCCCTGGTCTCTGCCTGGCCTCGCCCTTCTCTTCCCACAGTTCTACCTTTGTTCCTGTCAGGTGTACTAGTTCCTCCTTGATTTTAAGATGGCAGCTAGAGAGCCAGTCCTGCCTCATCCCTGACAGTCGGTGTAGGGGCACAGAGAAGCCAAAACATGCTTCCACAGAGGGAGGAAACCACTTGCCAGGATCTTGTACTACTGGCTCACAGGACCCAGCCCCAACCCACCAGGGCCCAGCCCCAACCCCAGGGCCCAGAGGGTCAGAACCACAAGATTCTACAGCCATGGTGCCCATGCAGTGTGTCCAGGGGCACTTTCAGGTCTTTGTTTCTTCCTGCCTCTTCTCCACAATCCATCCTCCACCCACAGTATCAGGAATATGCCCATGAGCAGAGCATGGGTCCTCCTCCCTGCCTTCCCCTCACGTGCCCCTCAAGTACCTGCCCTCTTTCCTCCTGTTCCAACTCCTGCCTAGGTCCCCCATACCTACATATTTTGCCCCTTCAGGACCTCTCCTGGCCTCCTCTTATCTCCTCCAACATTTGAACTTTTCCTCTAAAAGGAGTACCTGACTTCTACACCAAAAATTCTGACTTGTTCCACATCTTAAATAGTCTGTGACCCAGAGTAACCTACCCCCACCCCGCCCACTGCCCCCAAACATACAAGTTGCTTGGTCCCTGCACCAGGTTAAAGCTGCACTTATGTCTCAGCAAGTTCCTGGGACATAGTCCTCGGGAGCCATAGAGAGCCACAGGAAACTGTCTCGTCTGTCCGTGCCTAGGGCTTCCTTACAACCACGTCTGCTTTTCAGGGCAAACTGGACATGTCGTGTGACTTTGTCCAAAACTGCAACCAAGTATCACTAATGTGGTGTCAGCCCAGGGACAAGGTAAGCAGGGGCATAGGGATGCTCCCCATGGGCTAGAGGCCTTGCTTTTTACCCCTGACAGTTGTTCTCTGGGACTGTGGGTCACAGAACCCTGTCTGGCATCTGACAAGGAGGATGCTCAAGACGTGGAGAAATGTGGGCTCAGATGCCTCCCTGCTATGCTGATGCTGGACATGGCATCTGTGAATTTTCTTGCATTGTCATCTCAGGAAACTCTTAGAGCATTACTTCAAATTTGCCAACTAAAATAAAAAATGGCAGGACAGCAATTTTTATTGGCCTCCCAGTCCATTGCCCCTCCCCACCAACCACTGACCCTAATGATTTGCTGGCTCCACCACTTCCATGGAGGTGTTTCTGGGTTGGTCACTCAGGTCCCAGAGGTGGTAGTGAGCATGGTGTCGGTCTCTGCCCCACACACAACCACAGTGTTGTCTGACAACACCAACTGGTTTTACCAAGTAGTAAATATTCACTTCTTGAGTCATTCCCTGTGACTTGGGAAGAAGCCAAATTGTTACACTTCTTCCTTAGAATTTAATCATAATGATAGCTAATTTTTATTGATCCCTCCAATGGGCCAGCTGGTAGCCTAAGAACTTTACACTTACTATTTTACTGTTTTAATCCTGACATTACAGGTAGGTATTAATATTTTTCAGTTTTACCATAGGGGAATTGATGCACAGACATGCTGGGTGACTTGTCTTAGGTCACAAAAGCTGGGAGTGGCAGAGCTGTACTTGAACCACAGGGCCTGGCCACCACCCTTCTCATTGCTCTGCCTCCTTTGGGTCAGCACTCCTGATCTCTTGAGTTTACCCCAAACCAGCATAAGCCTGCTATACTCAGCTCCAGGGCCCAACGAGAGTAGTGCTCCTGCCTTACCTGGGCTGCTCCGTGTTCAGACCCTTTGTTCAAATGGGCGAGGGAGCTTGGAGGATGTTCTATTCCCAGAGTCTGTAGTGAGGGCTGGCTGGCCACATTCAGGTGACACTGGCACCCAGATGATGGACAGGTGGGCATTCAGAAGTTCAGGAAGTACATTATTCTTCCTTTTTAAGAGCCATTGGGTGCTATAGCCTCCACAGCCTGTATCACATCAGAGGGTGCCCCAAATGCCCTTGCTTTAGGAGCCTGTAGCCAAATATAAGCTCTGTCGAGAGGGTTCATCATTTCTGCCCACTCTCACCAAGAAAGGATGACAATGTTCAGGCTGTGGGGGTTGTAGGGCCTCCATCATTCTTGCTTAACCAGCTCCCATTCCAGCGGGGAGCTGACCAGTTTCAGAAAAGGGATGTCAGAGTCAGGAACCTGGAGTTGCCTCATTAAGGCAGAACAGACTTCTGATGCCTGACCAAGTCCCCAGGAAGGAGCTCTGGCTGGAGTCCAGCACTCATGGAGAGGAAAGCCATCACTAAGGTTCACTGTGGTCTTAGTGGATTCTGACTCCAACCCCCTTCAGCCAAGAAGAACACATTCTTCTCGTGCTTATTCTAATGACTTCTTATGGATGTCTTCTCTCTCTTCTCTTCCCTACAGGGAAAGTGCCTGAGCATAACTCTAGTGAAACCCTACTACACACAAATGCCTTGTGGCCCAAAGATCTGCCTTGCATCCAGCCAGGAGGGCTTCCCCCTCAACAACTGCTGCAAATGGGGCCAACCCCCCCCACAAATATGTTCTCAACCATCCTCAAGAATGTTGCCACTGATCCCTCCTTCTGCCCAGATAATTCGCAGAACTACCTTGTCACTCCCACATCCATAGTCCAACCTCTAGAGAACAAAACCACCAGAATATTATAAGCCATTTGTGTACTAAATTGGACACATACTGAGTCCAATACTGAACATTGAGACTTGGTTCAAAGACCAAAGAAATTGTATTTTGTGGCTTATTAGCATGAAAGTTGGTTACCTGGTGAGCATTTCTCTCTGTGTGAGATGTACCTACACTGCTCCTGCAGGATAAAGCACCCTGGTGTCCTGTGAATATAGACCCATGACCCACAGCCTAGTCTTCATCTCTCATCATGAACTGGGACACCTGGATTTTCTTCACATTCTGCTTTTCAATAAAATCCTAAACTATTTTTAAAACAGAAATACTGGCTTTTACTAAATCTCTTGGGCAAGTTACTTAAACTCCCTGTGTTTTGCTTTTCTAGTAGAAAAGATGTGGATAATAGTGTCTTTTTTAGAGGAGGCCATGAGGTTTATGGTAGCTCAGCACATGGCCATGCCCCTGGTAAACACTCAGGTGCCAATAGCTAATGTCTCTTCTACCCCATCTCTCAGTCCGAGAAGGAGGGGAATACAAGTTCAGAGATATCCACAGTATTTTGAAAATTCGGGGTCATCAAAGTGGAGACCATGCCTATTTTTTTTTACCTTTACACAGGAGGGTGTTGGCACACATGCTCATTCTCAGTAAAGAGGGGGTTGGTCACACACGGATTCATATCCCTGGCCCACCACCCATGCAATCTCCTAGAAACCATTGGAAAAGGCCTTCGCACCTACCAGTCCTTCAGAAATGTTATTTTGCCTTCCATGCCCTTAATATTTCTCATGATATAAAGGAAATCAATGATGCCCACTTGCCTGAGTTAAAATCTGCTCCTCCTTTAAGAAAGTTGGACCACCCAATACTTCAGATCCCTTTTCATTGAATCTTTGCCAACTTCATCAAGTTTTTCCTCCACACTAATGTTTGAAGGCTATCCATGGACAAGACTTCATTTGGAAAATCCTAGACCACTCTTCATCCCAGAGTATGGATGAAGTAACCTGCTGAGCCACAGAATCAGAGAAGGACCATAATAAAGGGTAGGAGGAATGGCTATACTCTGACCATGTAACCTCTTCCTCAGGCCATGGTAGTTCTACATAAAGAAACCATATCATGGTCTAGGGTTTCTCCTGTGGAAAAGACAGAGCCCAACATGGACATTCAGCTTCCCCCAGCATTAGGAGATGCTTCCCAGGAGGCCCATGAGGTCCTTCCTGACTGGGATCATATGAGAAAGCTGCAGAGCTCGATAGTGGAATATTATTGGAATGGGGAAGGCAGGCAGGTCTTCTAGCAAGCAGCACTGAGATGTTGTCAGACCTTGTCCTCCTCTCATTGGTCCCTCTGGTCCCTAAGTAGAGATCCGGCCCGTGATTCTGAACATCTACAGAGCCAAGTCACTGGTTTTATCTGGCCAGAGAGCTTACTGGATGATTCTTCCTGATTCTGGTCCCAGCCAATAAGCAACACAAGCCTCAGAGCCACATTATATGCCCTCACTCAGGCAGAAAAGCAAATTTGTGTCCCTATCTACTGGTGAATATTCCCCCAGTTTTCTTTAACCTGAATGCCTAAGTAGAACACCCAGTAAGCCACATAGCTCATCCTAGTGCCCTGTGTACAGTGGCATCCATACAAAGAGTAACCTGGCAAATCTTCCCATCAGCAGAGCCTAGGCAGTGGCCCTGTATGACCAGGGAATTTAGTGAACAGTTATGCCTCTTTTAGGTTTCTGGCCAATGAAGTAGGATAGCTTTTGAGTCTGGCTTGCTGCTTTTTCTGAATAGGAAAATGGTTACATGTCTCCATTTACCACTAACTAGAGTCCTAGGAAGCATCACCAAAGAATCAAGACAACTACAGACCCCATTCCACAGCCACATGTGGGTATGGAACCAAGAAAGCAGTGGTATCTAACTCTTCCCATCCAGTGACACCCACTGACCTCAGAGCTCTGGAAATGGCCTCATCCAAATAGAGACTCCAACAATGAGCATTAATTACACAAGTAAACAGTGTGTTGTCCAGAGCCCCTACCTGTGCTGACTATTGAAGGACTTTCTTCCAAAACAAACCTGTACATTTAGAAAGAAGAGACAATTTAATCGAATCCATGTATATCAACAAAAAAATTCAGGTATCACAAGAATCAAGTAAACATGACAGAAACAAAGGACAGTGATAAATTTCCATAGCTGACCCTGAAGTAATAGTTATCTATGAATGTTCTCATGAAGAAATCAGAATAGTGGTCCTGAAGAATTAACCACAAGAGCACAGATGAGTAACAATGTTAAGAAAACAATGCGTTAACAAAACAAGAACATTAACAGAAATAGAAGGCTTCAAAAAGGTGAATGGAAACCAGACTTGAAGAATGCAGCGACTATAGTGGAGATTACAAGAGAACTTCTACAGTAAATCAGGCAAGTAGAAAAGTGAAACATAAGAGTGATCATTTAAAGTTATCCTGTCAGAGAAAAAAAATTGAGTGAAGACTATGAATTAAGAAACAGCGTGAATAGAAGTAATATATGAATTATAAAACCCTCAGCATGAGAGTGGAAAGAAAATGGAAAATTATTTTTAACCAATTGGGATTGAGAAGTTACCGAAGATGGAGAAAGAAAACATATCCAGATTCATGAGCCCCAAAGGGCCTCAAAACACTGGCACCTGTAAGTTCTACATTGAGACACATTAAAAGCAATCAAAATGAGTATTTTGAAAGCATCAAGGGAAAAGCAAGGCATCACATAAAGGATAGTTTTATAAGATAAATGTTACAAGAGAACCTTTGAAAGTCAGGAGATAAAGTGATTATATTTTAAATATTTTATTAAAAATGTGGAGAGAGGGAAGATGACAGCAAAGTAGGTGGGAGCTGGGCACACAAGTTCCAGCACCCAACTGGGACACTTACCTGTCCTTCTGAAGCCAACAGAATTCCAGCTGATATGAAGTTTGGAAGCCAAAGTGAGCAGAGAATGCTTTAAAATGGGTGGTAAGGAGGTACTATAGGCAGATGGGGAAAGTCCCCAGCATGATGCCTTTGGCAGTGGCTTCTCCTGTGGACAACACTGGACTTCCAAGGAGGACCAGTTCCATGATAACACCTTAATGGCTCCCTCCCTTCCCAAGATGAGAAAAAACGCAGTCCCACCCTGGGCAGCTTGAGCTTGTAAAGTCACGGGGATGGAAACAAAAAGCACAGGTGGGGCAGGGACACATGCAGCTGGCTGTACACCCAAGCCAGGGTGGTGGTCGGTGGCCCATCGGGTACAGTGCCAGAGAGTGGTCAGGACCCTAGCCACACCTGGAGCTGAGAGAAGAGGAGGGCTGCAAATGGAGTATCTGAGATAGACTCTGGACTTCCCTCACAGATTGATCAAAGGGATGCAAAGCAAGATGCTTTATATACATGCGACGTTGCAAAGGGGAGAGTGCAGGTCGCACAGCACTCCGAGGGCATGGGCTGGAAGCTGGACACCTGTGATTATTGCAGTCCAAAGTGAGCCCACTTCCAAGCAACAGCACCACAGCATAAAAACGGAACCCAACCTCCCCACTGCCTGCATGAGCCGCAAGGATCTGCAAAACGGTCCAGGCACAGTTTTTTTATGGGGGGGGGGGGGGTTGTTTCATTTTTTTTGTTGCTGTTGTTGTTTGGGGTTTTTTTGCAGCTACCAGCAGGGGGTGCTCTTCTTTTTCTTTCCTTTTATCTTTCTTTTTTTTATTCAATAGCAACACAGTAAGTCCTGGAGCTGAGAGAAAACCAGAGACAGATCTAGAAGTCAGAAGGCAAAAACCAACACCCAAGATAAAGTTTACCTTGCCCTTCACTAGAGCTCGAATTTTTAAAATTTAATTTCTCTTTCTTCCTTTCATTTATATAGGTCATCGTTATTTGTTCTGTTTGTTTTGTTGTGGCTTGTTTTTCTCTCTGTTATATTGTATCTTCTGTTCTTTCACCTCACTCATATTCCAAATAACTCACTATTCTTGGTCTTTCAGTTTTTATTCTTTTTATTCAGGTTACATATTTTCTATCATATTATTGCTATTACAAAGACCACGTAGCGCCCTCCCTGGTCTTAATCCATTTCACCATCTTCCTGAGCTTTATTACTATTCTGGTAAACTTATATGCTCTCACACTACTCTGACTTCCTATTCCTTACTTTCAGTATTGCTCCTCCATATAACCTCACATAAGTGCTCCTCTTTTTTAAGTCAGCTCACATTCTTCTCCCCCACTGATAAGAGTCTTATTTCTTTTCCTCCTTATATAAAGTATAGCTAGTTAGGCAAAATACCATGGTTATTACTGTATTGATCCAAAAGAATTCATGGTTATTCACCATTCATTGGCTCTTTAAACCTCATATAAAACTCTCCCCCTGCCTTACTCCATTTGCCTTCCCTTGCTTCTGATCAGTGGAGGGAGGAATCTAATTTGTTTTGTTTTGTTTTGTTTTCCCTTCTCTCTACCTGGGCTTTACTCCTTGCTCTTATTAGTTTTCTCCCTCCATCTTCTTAACATCATTTACTTTATGGTAGACAGCTCATATTCAATTTTTGCTTTAGTTCAATATTCTTATTCCCATTCCACCTTGATTACACTTCTTTCAGCTATTGTTGCTATTGTCCCCTGCTGTGGTTCTTCTCCAGTCTTGCTCCCATTTGTCCAGCACCTTTATAATTGTACCTCAGACCTCATAGTATATGTTCCCTTTTCTTGCCCCATTGTTCCTATCACCTGTATGTGTTTTACTTACATTTAAAATTTTGTTCTTGCTATCTCCATCTCAGTTATATACACACTCTTATCAATTCTCCTCTCTCACCATTCAATAACATTTCCCACTCCTTAGATCATTTCATATTCCTTTTGTCATATCTTTTAATATACATAAGCTCTCTTCACCTTTATCAATATTTGCTCAGTGCTGATGCAATAGAGTGGTCCCATTTGTTGGCATAGGTTTTCTTGGTAATACTGCTTGGTAATACCAGCCTGGTAATACTGCTTTGTTAACCAACACTTATACAATAGCATACAAGACAAGGTGGGAATTGTGACTACCAGTAAACCCACTCACTAGAGGAGAAAAATCATTGACATAGAAGCTACAAGCAAGTAAAGCCTGAGTATGAAAAGAAAGCCCACACGAACAGAAGAAAGGGCAACCCTAGAGTATCCAACTAGGAGATCAAAAGAATGAACCACTGAGTCACTCAGAACTCCTATCACAGAATACTACCCCATAAAGATAGCTGACAAAACAGAGCATTCTGGGTTGCAGAAATAACCAAAAGGAGCCACCTAAAATGGGGTGACAAAGAAAGAGTACCCAATCAAAAGGAATGGAAGAACCCCAGTAAAAGAGCTAAATGAATTTGAGGCAAGCAATCTATCAGACATAGAATTTTTAAAAATTGTTATAAGGATGCTCAAAAAACACAGCAACAGCTACAAGGAACTAAGTGGGAATTAAAACAACATGAAAAAGGAAATATAAAATAAAAATAAGACCCAGGAAGAATACAATATCTGAAATAAAAAGTGCACTGCTAGGAATTATAAGTCAATTGAATGAAGCAGAGGACTGAATTACTGAGCTTGGAGACAAGGTAGGAAGAAACACCCAGGCAGAAGAACTGCATGAAAAAACACTAAAAAAGCATCAGGAGAGCTTAGGGAACTTCAGACAACATGAAACATAACAACATTCAAATTGTAAGAATACAAGAAGGAAAAGAAAAGGAGCAAGGAATCAAAACTTGTTTGAAAAAATAATGACAGAGAACTTCCTTAACCTGGAGAGAGGAAAAGCTATGCAAGTGCAGGAAGCACAGAGAGTACCAAGGAAGATGAAGCCAAAGAGGCCTACTCCAAGACACATCATAATTAAAATATCAAATTCAAGACAAAGAAAGACTCTTAAAGGCAGCAAGGGAGAAACAGACTATAATATACAAGGGAGCTCCAATAAGGCGAGGACCTGACTTCTCAACAGAAACAGTACAAGTGAGATGGGAATGGCAAGAAATATTCCAAGTAATGTCAAGCAAAGGTCTGAAACCAAGACTACTCTAATGGAAGATGAGAGAGAAGGAAAGATGGTGGAAGAGTGAATGGAAGTCACACTGACCTCCTCCTAGGGCCAATCTGAAATTACAACTCAGTTGTGGAGAAACCACTCAGGACAAATAACTGAGCAATAGCCAGAGAGAAGCATATAACTTCAGACTGACAGAAGAACCAGCTTTGGCACAACCTTTCTCCTAAGGAATGCAGTAGAGACTTAAGAAGGCTGGCTGGACACCCATATGTAGCAGTGCAGTGAGATAATTAAGTTGCTTGTTAGATCCCCTGGAAAAGATTGAGGTCTAAACCCTAGGCTGGGATACCCAGCCTGGAGTACCAGAGCCCAGAAAGTGCGCAGATAACAACCAACAATGAAAAGTGGCAGGGTTGCTCTCTGCCAAAGAATGATGGCTGGGGATGAAAGGGCCATTTAAAGGTCCAACACACTAATTTTCATTTGCACCCACTTACTGTCCGCTCCCACAAAGGCCACAGCCTTTGTGGGAGCCTCCCAGGAGGCAGGAGACACCTGAGAAGAGAGGGAGAATGGAAGCCTTGGGAAGAGAACAGAGAGCAGCTGCTCGGATCCTGGTGCTTGGCCAATCCTCATACAAATCAACCATCCTACTTAGACGATTCCCCTCCTAGCAACAGCAGCCTGAGGGGAAACAAAAGCCCCAACCCCAGGAGGAATTTGGCCACACCCTACGGTGCTTAAACCTGACATCTATGTACAGAGTGACCAGATTAGATTAACAATTGAAGGGAACAGCCAGGGACAGATCATTGGAAGTATTGAACAGGCTGCCCAGTTGGGGTCAACATCTGACATCACCAGAGGCAGATCCAGAAAGAAAAAAAACAGTGGTAAATACAAGAGGCTGCCCATATAAAAGCTATTGTGGTCTTCTTCATGATTTGTGATATTTTCTTTCTTGCAGAGCTTTATAACATTCTTTTTTTCCCAGCAAGTTTGTATATATTAAGTCACTAGCTTTTATACTACAGTGTCTTTCAATTCACATATTTTTCCCCTCCCATCCCTTAGCCCATTTTACCTCCCTCTTTCCTTGCAATATTTTCTTTCCAAATTTGGTTTTCTCTCTAGCTACAATGTTTCCATTCCACACTCTTACTATTTCTCCCCCATCCAGACACACACAACCAATTTTCTTGTCAAAGGTCATGTCACATTCTTTTGACCAGCTCTTAAAATCCCGGCATTCTCTCTCCACCTTTAACAATCTTTGCTAGTTGGTTGTGGGTAGGGTAGTTGTTGCATTATTTTTTCGATTTCATCTCTAGAGCTTCACTAATTCTTTATTTTAAATATGAAATTTTACTGGTCCCCTCTCCTACTCTTTTTTTTGGTCTCAAATTTTAATTTTGCTCTCTTAGCCTGTTTTTTTTTCTTTTTGTCTTTTGTTTTTTTGTTTCTATTTCATCTTGCCCTTTCATTTTTCTTTATTACACTTTTTTTCTTTTTCCTTGCATTCCAAATCTTAATTTCTCCCTCTGTTAGCCTGGTTTTTGTTCCTCACTCTTAGTATTCCTTCTTCCACTATCATTTCAAAAATCATTCCCATTCTTCTAAATGTCTCTTAGGCTTTTTTGTTTTCTTTGTTTGTTTCTTTTTTCTTTTTTAGTCCCATACCAGCTATACGGATTTTAGCTTGTTTGTTGTTGATAGTACTGTGGTGGACCTTTCTAATTTGGCTCCTATATTCTTATTATTTACTATATTTGCCTTCTTTTTCTTTCTCACACTTATTTTATATGATTTTAATTTCTGTTTAAACCTAATATTATATGCTTCCCTTTAAATTCTTCATTCTACATTCTTCATTTCCTTTCTCTTTCATGAGGTAAATTTTACCTTCTCTTTCTGCATTGCTCCAACTCCCAACTCTTATTAGTACTCCTCCCTCTACCCTCTCAAAATTATTTTTCATTAGGTCATCTCATATCTGCTCTCCTTTCTTATAATAGTATTTATTTTATTAAACCCTTTTTAATACTAGTTCATTTGCTATTGAGAGTGGGATTATGGGGGTATATTTGGGGGTGCAAGTTTGTTTCCTGGGCTTTGTGGTTTTGTTCTAATAGCAGCTGCACAATAGCCCACAAGACGTGGTGGGCAGAGTGACCCTCAGTCAACCAGCTGGAGGGCAGGAGCCACCAAAAAAACACCCAACAACAATCAAAACCCAACTACATTCAGAGAACCAGCTTAAAAATTATAAAGGACATTCTAAGAGCATCAAGTTCAGGTGATCAAGGAGACTGTACCACTTAAATCACAGGCCTCCTACCATATAAGTTCACACCACAAAGTTAGAAAGTCAAAACATCAATTTAAGAAGGAGAAGCAAACAAGAAAAGACCCACAAATGGGAAGAAAAAGAAAAAAAACTCAATCAAGAT